ATATACACTCATCTAAAGGATTATTAGGAACACCTGTTCAATTTCTCATTAATGCAATTATCTAATCAACCAATCACATGGCAGTTGATTTATGCTTTATGCTCGATAAACATATCACAAAATTCTGCATGATACACAATGAATATTTTAAATGATTTTATCTACGCACGCCATGCATGTGAACATTTGACCTACTGGATGGAGCTTTCATGCAAAAAATAAATTCCTTTCTCTTGACATGTCGATCAGCTGTTTAGCCAGTGAAGCAATCGTGATGATGAATAGTGAGTTTCGAGTTACCCCATAAGTTTCAAGTTCACCCCTTCTGTGACAGCCAGTAGTTTGCACCAATAACATACGTTTGCAAATGTTTTTAAAAAGGAGTGTTTTTGTTAACTGTTATAAAAACTTACATTTAGCTTAATAGTTTAACTGACATCAGGTTTTATTACATTAAGGTTTATTTTACTCAATAAAACTTGTTTCACTTATGAGATTAATGATGTATATTTTGCTCTAGCGATGTTTAATTGATTTACAGCTGTATCTTCATATCCATAGCGAGATGTTTAAAATTTAGCTTGGTAAACATGTTTGTTTAACCGGCATGATTTTAATAATAATTAGCTTTGATAAAATAATATTTGGGATGCTGCTTTACCTATATGCTTTTATCTAATTTTGTCTTGCTTTAGTGATCCTGCTGTAATTCAGGTTTCCCCACGCACTGTAGATCTCTGCACCTTGTTGGACAGAGTTGAGGGCTTTGATTGTAATGGGAAACATTATGGTTATTTTAAATTGTTGTGTTTAATTTTGATTTAATTTAAGTTTTCCCTCAGATTTTTTATTTCAAGAGTGAGTTTCAAAAACATTTCAACGGCAGCTGGGGAAATTAAACTTTAGTTTCTTGTAGCTAGAGGTGGGCGATAAATCGATTTTATCGAATTTACAGTTCAGGATGATGTGTTTTTAATGAAAATCAATTTTATTGCTTATTTTAAACGCGACCGCCAGAAGCGGAGCTAATGTGACGCACCGTTCTTCATGGGTACATTAGCGCGGCGCACACAAACAACATGGCAATGGTTCGGGTTTGCGCCATCAGACACAGACCAAACAAGTCCTCGTTGCAATGTCTGTTTAAAAATTGTTGCAACCAAAGGAAGTAGCATGACAAATTTATTCCAGCACCTAAAGCAGAGGCACACAGTGGAGTGGGAGAAGTTTAGCTCCTAGCGAAATGAAAATACCTGCAGCACCAGCACAACATCCAAAGTTAAGCAAGCAACCGTCCCTGACACGTTTTCGAATGGTGTGCCATATGATAAGAATGAGCACAGTGGAAGGCGATAACTAACGCTCTCGCGATGTATATTGCAAAAGACATTGTGCCCATACATACTGTGGAAAAGCCAGGATTCATTAACATGCTAAAAGTTTTCACAAGTTTCTAAAAGTGTTTACAATGGCGTGGTCTGCCATCTCACTTACAAGCATCTTTTTTGCCTTGTCAGATTGCACTTTAACTCTAAAGTAAAAAAACTAAAAAATTGACAAATTTTATTGCCTCACACTGATATTTTAAATTCAACAAGTTTAAGTTCAAGAATTTTAATTTCAATTATGTTGTTGGCTTCCAATTAAACATTGCCTATCTAGTGTTTTGCGATTCTGTTAGTAGTGTACCTATCAAATCAAAGACAGGAACCATATAGCTAATATGCACACTTCAATATTTATCACAAATCGTATCGTCATCAAAATATGTGTTACTGCACATTGCTGATTGTCCTCTTATTCTGCAGCTCTAATACCACAACAGTACATATATGTACTTCAGGGTGGTGTGAGAGCATGGAAATTTACATTTTTGGGCATGGCTTTGTGAAAGTACAGTGGTACCTCAGTTCTCGAAATCGAATTTCTTAAAAGTCGAACCAACCAGTTCGAAAAAAAAATACCTAGAGCTCGATCTGAATCTCAGAAGTCAAACCGTGAACGCCGACCTAAGATAACTTGTACGCGCGGGGAAATGAGTCACGCGGCCCATCAGCAGAAACAAAGGGTAAAGCTTCAGTCTCAGCCTCGCATTCCCTGTGATAGCATCGTGCATGTTTACACTAGCTGTAACAGTAATTATTATTATTTAATAAAATACATTTAAAAATAAAGATTTCTTAATTATTTTAATATTAATAATAAACCATTAATACATTTAATTACAATAATATTGTCTCCGTTCCGTCCCCGCTCGGCACGACACGGAGACAAAGGCGCAGATGTCAGGGTATCGGGGAATATGGGGTTTAATTACAGGTAAGGCAGGCAAAACGCAGACGGACAATACAATGACCGGACTAGGGAAACGAACTGAAACGTGGACAAAATACAGAGGCCTAATGACAACAACCAGAAACAGCTGATCACACGGGGATTCCACATGGGGTTAACAAGGGGGCGTGGCACACGGAAGGAGTGGACGATCAGGACAGGGCACATTGTTTGGATACATTTTCTTACTTTACAAATTACCATTTTGATAAATGTTTTTAGATGTGTTTAGTACAGTATATGCTCTTCTTGTTTTATCCGGTTCATTTTGTGTTTAAATGCAAAAAAAAAAAAACATATTTAGGTGTAATTTTTTGGGGCCGGGAACCAATTAATTGGTTTTCCATTATTTCTTATGGAGAAAATTCGATCAGAACTCGAACGTTTTAGGATTCGATCCGGAGTTCTGAACGGATTAAGTTCAAGTTCTGAGGTACCACTGTATAAATTTAATCCCCATTGAAATCTGGTGACAAATGTGATATGAGCTGTTCAATATTTGTGGTACTGTACAAGCTGGAGATATGGGCCAAGGTGCAGTGTGAACTGCAGATGTGTTTGCACTCACTGAGGTGGCAGGTAGTGATGCATAGTGTTGGGTTGAGGTAATATTCCCTATTTCTGCATTGTTTGGCCTTTGACTGTTGCACAAGTTTAGTAAATTAATGACGTCTTGTGTTGTTCAGGTTCTCCTATCTGATTTGGTTAAAGATCTGATTACTTCATCTGAAATATGCCAAGAAACTGACAACAGATATTGCTTGACTAGTTTGGCAGTTTCTGCTACAGCATAGCGAGTGACAGCAGGAAATAAGCTGTACATGCTGAAGATGACGTTCTGCTGCATAGTTTTTTGAGAAAGATCTGTGCTATATGTTTAGAAATTGACAAATTTTATTGCCTCGCACTGATATTTTAAATTCAACAAGTTTAAGTTCAAGAATTTTTATTTCAATTATGTTGTTGGCTTCCGATTATCAAAACAGAATCTAGATAAAATGATTGTGCTGCATTTCATTTTGCAGTGAAACTCCCTTTTTGTCTTGTGTTTATAAATCCAGCGTGCTCCTTTCCAGCCTCTTTTTGTTTTGAATATTTATGGTTCAAAGAAATCCACTGTTAAAAAGTTTTTTTTTAATTCAGTAAATGCATATTTCCAAAGTCAGTGAATAATCATGCTAAATAGTTGTGATCTCATGATTTTTGTTCTCCAGCAATATTTTCCATGAAACCGAAAAGTGAAAACGTTTTGTGAATAAAATTTGTTGCCTCCATGTTAAAGTATTTTCCTTCTGTTGATTGATGTGAGCTGGCATCCATACTCTGTGTGCAAATTACTAAGGCATCTCTTCCTTCTCTATAGCTGTCGAAGGAAGTAGCAGGACTGACGATGAACTTCCCCATTCAGGTATGGCAACCCTCTGCTGACTTACTCATTGGTGAGAGTAGTTTCTGTCTTGGCTAGCACAGGAACTGTTTATCTAGTTTAACACGGTGTGCATTTGTGAAGCTTGCAGTTACAGGTTATAGTTCTGTTAGATCTTGATGTTTGAGTGAAGCAGTTGAGGTTAAACTCGCAGGATGTTCAGCCTGTTGATGTTCAGAGAGCCCCAGTCTGACTCTATAGACGAGTGATGCTGACATCACTGCCTTTCACTCCTGTTTCCCCAGGACTCGATGAGGGGCGTGAACCCCACGCTGCAGTCGATGTTCCAGGCAGCCCACATGGGGAAGGGCGGCGTGTACGATGGCCAAGGGAGCAAGATGAAGAAGAAGCAGTCCATGATGTTGCACTCCGACCCCAGCATCTTAGGTGGGCTTCCTCTTCACCCTCCTCGGCTCCATGACCCATCTGAGGGTCACACAGTAAGCTTTATGAGCGCAGGAACCGCGGCTTTCAACCAGATTGTTCTGGATCGCACTGTGCTCTGTAAGGTCGTTCCTAAGGTAATTGAATGTTACACTTAGAGCAGGACTTTGTATAATATTAATGGTTAAAGTCTGACGCCATTGCTGGTTGGAGCTGCATTTGTGCTAATTCCAAGATTCTGAGTCATTTTAGGCAGCCAGATGGTGGCCTTTACCTTCTCGCAGGCCAGTCATGCCAAAGTGGGCAGGTGTAAGGCATGAGTACATGGTACCATTTAAGGTAGTGAATAGAAGGGTCCCATCCAGATTCAGGATGCCTTGTGATTATGGGCTGTCCTGATTATGGCATGTTACTCTAACTGTCCTTTCCTCATCCCCCGCAGGGTACTCATTCCACAGCGCTGGGGACCGGCTAAGCGTGAGTGAGATGGAGATGGTGGAGGAGTATTGATCCACAGCAATAGCTACCTGAGGCCTTTTTTTTGTTATCTGTTTTAGTTGTTTTTTTGTTTTTTTTTGTTGTTTTTGTCTGACACTCAGACACCCTGATGATGAATGTGCACTCTAGGGGAGAGGCCGGGGCAAAGAGTGGATTGGCCTTACACCCCCACCTCCATAAGGAGGTAGAGAAGGGGTGGAGTGTAGGTGGGGTAGGGTTGGGGGGAGGGGGGCGGAGAGACAGCAAACAGAGGAGATTTTCTGGCACTTATATCAGTAAGCACCTTAATCGAAACTACTGCACTTTATTAAGAGGGATTTGAAATAGGGGTTTTTTTTTTTCCTTTTTAAGATCACAATTCTACACGCATGCATACATACACGTATGTGTGTGTGTGTGTGCGTGCGTGCGTGTGTGTATGTGTGTGTGCGTGAGAGAGAGAGAGAGAGAGAGAAAGAGACGACTGGAAGGTTACAAGGTGGAATTATTCTTGGGGGGGCTTTTTTACATGATCAGAAAACAAATCCTTTCTTGAGAAACTGTTTTTTGTTTTTTAAAAAAACATTTATATAAAAAGTAAAGCTATTAAAATGGATAAAAAAACTTGAAGATTGCACTTGCATTAAAAAAAAAAAGATTAGGTATAGAAATCAATATTTTTGTGAGTGTGAGTGAGTTTATGAGAATACTAGTCTGCACGATATTTTTCTCATCACTTTCCAAGATATGTAGTGATGATGCCATTGTCCGTTTTTTTTTTTTTTTTTTTAAAACAGATTTTCGTACTTCCTGAGCTCTGTGTATGTGTGTGTCTGATGGGACGTGACCCTTTGTCACTAATGCATCCCGACCTGTGTGAACGATCCCTGTACATATGAACGCAGACACATTCTGCCGCATCACATCGCTGCCCCTATTGGCTCTAGGTCCTGCTCCCCTTTCTACGGCTTTCATAGCTGTGCTAAGTGTAGACACTACAAGCACAGGTGTGTGTGTGTGGGTAAGTGGGGGGGGGGGGTGGATGCGAGTGTGTGTGCCAGTCTGTTGGTGTTAAATGATTTTTGTATTATTTTTCTTGCATTCAGCAGCTGTACAGTTTGGACCGTGATTCTCATCTGATTTAATTTGCCCCTTTTGTTTGCTCTTTTGTGTTTATTTATGAACAGAACTGTGCAAAGCGTTCGTATCAGTATATTTAAAGACGTGGTCTGGTGTTGTTACTGTGCGTGCGTGCGCGTGTGTGTGTGTGTGTGTGTGTGTGTGTGTGTGTGTGTGTATGTGTGTGTGTATGCGTGCGTGTGTGCGTGCGCGTGTGCCTGCTCGCGCGAATGGAATGAGCTGTAGGATCACGTTCCACGCAGTGTGAAGTATTGTTCAGTCAGTTCAGTTTGGAGGCTGCTGCCTTTTTTCTTCCCCTCTGTCCTGTCGTCTCGGCGAGAAGATGCGTCTGTTTATCCTTTTCTTAAAAAAAAAAAAAGAAAAAAAAAAAGACAAAAACATGAATGTATTCCAAAAAAAAAGAGAGAGAGATTACCTGGCGGATATTTTTTCCACGCATGCAAGATGAAAGGATGAGCTGATAGCGTGAGTTCATCCCGATACCCTGCAGAACACACTGCCTCTTCGGTCCTTTCAGAGGGACGGACTCTGAAACGAAAAGCTTTTCTATTCCTTACAGGAGGTTTTTGTTGTTTACAGATCACATGTATGTCTGTGGTTTTTTTTTT